GGACGTGTAGCACATGTATGGGAATGCCTTATGACTCCACGCTCACTACAGACACGAACAATGTCCACCGATCTGAAGCAAATGCCAGTAAAGCACACGATTGCTCCATCGTGGCACATGGTCATCTGTAACTTCCATTTTTTGCTTTCTGTTTTCAGAAACAGGAAGGAATCTGCAGCAGCACGCTGGCCTTCCCTTTCTGTGCAGTCAGGATCATTTGGCATCGGTTTCTCAATCCACTGGAGACGAGACACTTCAGGTTGGCAGAGTACCTGTACCGCAATCTCTCTTGCTGCGTGTGCGTGGTCTAATCACGTGAACTGCCAGTAAAACGGTGGCTCAGCCACTAGCGCACATGTGAACGAAGGCTTAGCTAGGCACCCCAACGTACCTGACGTTTGATTGTAGTGCCAGTCCCAGGGTGCCCATCCGACCTTCCTCTTGTCTCCCCGCCATGGTCCCATTTTCTGCTTCTTTCCCCTTTCGTATTCTCACTTAGGTGACATGCTGTGGAAATGTTTTCCCTGTGCATGCTTCTATGCTGCTATATGGCTTTACCTCTGCTACCCATTAGAGACATGATACACCACCAACTGTAACCTTCCTGTAATTGTTCAAAACTTTTATCTGTTAAAAAATATTAAAGGAGACAAAAAAAAAAAAATCAGCAGGAAAATAATGGCTATGGGGAGAAGGGGAAGAACGACTAATTAGAGCTGATTAAGTAAACAATGGGTTAATAAAGAGTTAAAGTGTTACTAAACCCAAGACCCTACATTCACTATATCCCCCGGACATTCCCCCGGACCCTGCATTCACTATATCCCCGGACCCTGCTCCCCGGTCTCCCCGGACCCTGCATTCACTATATCCGGTCCCGGACCCGGACCCTCTCCCCAGACCCTGCATTCACTATATCCGGTCTCCCCGGACCCTCATTCACCCGGACTCCCCCGGACCCTGCATTCACTATACTCCCCCGACCCTGCATTCACTATATCCGGACTCCCCCGACCCTGCATTCACTATATCCGGACTCCCCCGGACCCTGCATTCACTATATCTCCCCGGACCCTGCTCCCCCGGACCCTGCATTCACTATATCCGGACTCCCCCGGACCCTGCATTCACTATATCCGACTCACTATATCCCCGGACCCTGCATTCACTATATCCGGACTCCCCGGACTCTCCCCGGACCCTGCATTCACTATATCCGGACCCTGCATTCACTATATCCCGGACTCCCCCGGACCCTGCATTCACTATATCCGGACTCCCCCGGACCCTGCATTCACTATATCCGGTCTCCCCGGACCCTGCATTCACTATATCCGGACTCCCCCGGACCCTGCATTCACTATATCCGGACTCTCCCCGGACTCCCCCCTGCATTCACTATATCCGGTCTCCCCCGGACCCTGCATTCTCCCCGGACCCTGCATTCACTATATCCGGACTCCCCCGGACCCTGCATTCACTATATCCGAACATTCCCCCGGACCCTGCATTCACTATATCCGGACTCCCCCGGACCCTGCATTCACTATACTCCCCCGGACCCTATTCCGGACTCCCCGGACCCTGCATTCACTATATCCGGTCTCCCCGGACCCTGCATTCACTATATCCGGTCCCCCCCCGCATTCACTATATCCGGTCTCCCCGGACCCTGCATTCACTATATCCGGACTCCCCCGGACCCTGCATTCACTATATCCGGTCTCCCCCCCGGACCCTGCATTCACTATATCCGGACTCCCCCGGACCCTGCATTCACTATATCCGAACTCCCCCGGACCCTGCATTCACTATATCCGAACTCCCCGGACCCTGCATTCACTATACTATATCCAGTCGGACCCCCCGGACCCTGCATTCACTATATCCGGTCTCCCCGGACCCTGCATTCACTATATCCGGTCTCCCCGGACCCTGCATTCACTATATCCAGTCTCCCCGGACCCTGCATTCACTATATCTGGTCTCCCCGGACCCTGCATTCACTATATCCAGTCTCCCCCCGGACCCTGCATTCACTATATCCAGTCTCCCCGGACCATGCATTCACTATATCCGGTCACAACATGGAAGTGCAATTTAGTAAATTTAAACTGCTAAATACCTTTTCTTATCAGCAGTTAGAGCAGTTTTGTGACTCCTTTCAGTGTCCAGCAGAGCACATGTTAAAGCTTGTAGGAGTTTTAATTTTTCTCTAGGAGTATGCAAAACCCCTGACTTCTGTCTGGACTGATTGGCCTGTGCGGCACGCGCTCTCAGCACGTTTGTTCACAAATGGTACACAAATATGCAAAGCAGCCGCTGAGAGGCCACATATTTGCGTACGCACGGCGTGAAGAGGTTAAATAGTTGGTTTGGATCAAACTAGCCCAAACTATTTCCTTCATGAATACATATATAAACATATGACCTGCGCATGCTATCTGCATAAAACAATCTAAATAATATAAACAATAAATAATGTAAATATTCGATATCATTCAGTCCCACAACAGTGAAATCGGTGCAAAGTGCTAGTATTCAACTTCTAATATGTTGATTGTCTATTTATTTATTTCAGGTACTTATATAGCGCCGTCAATTTCCGCAGCACTTTACATGTATATTGTACATTCACATCAGCCCCTAACCCTCAAGGGGGGTACAATCTAAGGTATTGTATATCTTCAAGACGCATGACAAGTGCTCCACTGTACTCAAATCGTGCCCCACATGGACTGACACTCAGCGTCATGCAATGGCCACCTATCTCTAGAATGGTCATACATGTGTTTGGGATAATCCCAGTGAAGCGATTGTTGCAATAAGGTAACCACCTCTCCTTAAGATGAAACTGCAATTGATAATAGACAAGTTCTAAGACCAGTTCTCCTTTCCTCCAAAGCAGATTATGTAATTGTAACGGAACCGACCCCGACTGCACTTGGGTATTTCCGTTAGATTACCACTTCCCAGTCCGAACACCGACAACGGAAACCACAGCTGACCATACAAGACCAGATGACACCAGTCTTGAAGTAATCCAGAAGGTAGACTACTTAATTTTAACACAGATACAAGATATATACACTCAGGGGACAATCCCCCCTCCCTGTATAATGACACAGGGCGGGGCAATCTACAGTTAGTAACAAGAGACACACCAGCAGACAGTCCATCAGGAGGGCTGCTGGAGACACCCCCCCACCAAGTCAATACACATAAACACATACATCTCATAATAGTTTGCTCTCAAGCCTGACAAACAATAGAACAATGGAAAGTAACCACAACACCAAACACTCCACAACCCCCCACCCCAATATTAGGACAGATCACCCTGCACCCCTAACAGGCACAGGGTGACTTACACATAGGAGGGATATGGGGAGCTGAGACAGGGGTCTCCCCACCTCTCCAAAGTGAGCTGTGTTCCATGGGCCCCCCACCCAAAGTGACTCTCGTCACAGTAATATGTCACCATATATAAAGAAACAGAAGGGGACATTCCACAGTGTAAACCGCTTAACCTTTATTCCGGGGAATAACTATAAGAAATGAACTCACAAATAAAGTTCCTGTATCCCAGCACTTGGTGTGCTCAGCCTTGTTGCTAATGCACTGAAAAAATGGCCGCCTCTGTGGTGGTTGCTCCTCAGAGTGGTGTGCGTTCCACAGGGCGGATGTGACCGCGGAAGAAGTTGCATCATCAAACGTTAACGCATTTCGATCCCAGATTGTCCTCAGGAGGTGCAAAATCCGCCATTTTGGAGAAGGTATTTATACCTTACACTAGCTTGTCTAATTACTGTGCTGAAACAGCATCTTTGTTTATTACAACCGATGTCACAAATAATCTACAAAAACTGCCTGCAACATTGCTGAGTACAGTCAGTGTTCCAGTTATAAGCGGGCTAATAGGCTTTTTGATGATAATAAACTGTCATTAGATGCATGTATTTATCCTGATGTACCAAAAAACCAATCCTCTTAAAGGGGAACCCCCCCCAATAGAATATAAAAAAGTACATTCAGGCAACCAACAAAAACAAATGATAAAAGGCATGTTGATGATAATAAACTGTCATAAGATACATGTATTTACCCTAATGTACCAAAGGACCAACCCTCTTAAAGGGGAACCCCCCAATAGTGTATAAAAAGTACATTCAGGAAACAACAAAAACAAATGATAAAAGAAACTAGAAATTAAATTACGTAAATTTAAAATAGGTAAATGACTTAGATGGAAACTGTAGCCCCACCCCACATATTACTATTACAATTCTAATATAGTACATTTATCTATCCTGATGTACCAAAGAACACTCCTCCTAAAGAGGAAAGTACCCACAAAAAATAAGAATGAGTGTATTCTACAGTACAACTTTCATTCTTCTGTAGGCAATCCATGCTGAATTATATGTCCAGCAAAACCGTTTAGTCGGATAACGGTTATGGTTAGCACCGCAGTTGATGTGAAATAATTTTAACTGCAGTATAAATAATTTTCATTTCAATTCTAAAGCTGACAGTCTGCAGTTAAAGCACATCTAAGCGCGGACAGTACAGGAGATGACCAGAGACTGCGGACAGCACAGGAGATGACCAGAGACCGCGGACACTACAGGAGATGACCAGAGACTGCGGACATAGTACAGGAGATTACCAGAGACTGCGAACACAGCACAGGAGATGACCAGAGACTGCGGACATAGTACAGGAGATGACCAGAGACTGCGGACACAGTACAGGAGATGACCAGAGACCGCGGACACAGTACAGGAGATGACCAGAGACTGCGGACATAGTACAGGAGATGACCAGAGACTGCGGACACAGTACAGGAGATGACCAGAGACCGCGAACACAGTACAGAGGATGACCAGAGACCGCGGACACAGTACAGGAGATGACCAGAGACTGCGGACACAGTACAGGGGATGACCAGAGACCGCGGACACAGTACAGGGGATGATCAGAGACCGCGGACACAGTACAGGAGATGACCAGAGACTGCGGACACAGTACAGGAGATGACCAGAGACTGCGGACACAGTACAGGAGATGACCAGAGACTGCGGACACAGTACAGGAGATGACCAGAGACTGCGGACACAGTACAGGAGGTGACCAGAGACTGCGGACACAGTACAGGAGGTGACCAGAGACTGCAGACACAGTACAGGAGATGACCAGAGACTGCGGACACAGTACAGGAGATGACCAGAGACTGCGGACACAGTACAGGAGATGACCAGAGACTGCGGACATAGTACAGGAGATGACCAGAGACTGCGGACATAGTACAGGGGATGACCAGACACTGCGGACACAGTACAGGAGATGACCAGACACTGCGGACACAGTACAGGAGATGACCAGAGACTGCGGACACAGTACAGGAGATGACCAGAGACTGCAGACAGTACAGGAGATGACCAGAGACTGCGGACACAGTACAGGAGATGACCAGACACTGCGGACACAGTACAGGAGATGACCAGAGACTGCGGACACAGTACAGGAGATGACCAGAGACTGCAGACAGTACAGGGGATGACCAGAGTCTGCAGACAGTACAGCATGACATTTTACCCCCTTTTTTGGGGGGAAAAAAGTGCGTCTTATGGAGTGAAAAATACGGTATGCCTTTAAAGTGCACTTTATAAAGATTTTTGAACAGATAAAATACTTTTTTTTACTTTTTTCTGACCCTCGGAGCGGATTAATTGGTTTTCAGTGCATTTCTATGGGAAACCGCGTTTCTGTTTACGAATTTTTCACAATACGAAAAGTCCCGCAGAACGAATTAAATTCGTAAACCGAGGTACGCCTGAATATGAAAAAAAAATATTCCAGTCAGTCTTCTTTTGTTTAAGGAGCAAAAAAAATAAAAAATGCACAGGTGATCAAATACCACCGAAAGAAAGCTCTATTTGTGGGAAAAAAAAAAAAAGAACATAAATTTAATTTGAGTGCAGCGTTGCATGACCGCGCAACCGTATCGCAAAAATGGCCTGGTCAGGAGGGGGGGGGGGGCGAATCCTCTGGAGAGTAAGTGGTTAATAGTCAGTGCAGTGATAGTAGAAAAGTACACATACCTTCTGTGGTATGATTTCCATTGCAAGATACTCTTTGCTCGGGGGACAGGGAGGACCGCGGGATCTGAAGAGAACTTGAGACCGTAGTAACGTTGCCATCTGTAGTTTTATGTTCAACAACAGAATTTTCTGTATTGTTCCAATTAATGTGAGATATTTCTCTTCCAGATGCACTACAATGCACATCTACCACTTCATCTGGTCCTTCACTTTTTCCTGAAAACAAGACCAATAACGGTGCGTTATATTTTTATCATCAATAGGAAGTCGGTATTTTTTCGCCATTTATCTAATTTTTTTAAACAATTTCTCCAAATGTACCCCATGTGGCCAAATTCTGCCAATTCCTGACCAGCATAAAGTCTGACACCCCTCCAAGATATTAGGTTCTGGTGTTTCCACCAAAGGGTACAGTCAAGTGGTTGTAAAGGTGTTTTGTTAAATAACAAACATATTATACCTACATGCTCTGTGTAATCGTTTTGCACAGAGCAGCCCCTTTTTTTTACCTTACCCACTTCCCGTCTGGCCCATGTTGATAAATGTCTGGACGGGAGCGCTGCCGATGCAGGTGGACGTTTCTAAACGACCCCCACATTCATTGCCTGTGCGTGCTCCCTGGGAGCGAGTGGCACCGCAAATCGGTGCCCCGTGTCCTCCGGACACAGAACGCTGTACGGAACTTCTGTGTGAGGTCCCGATTCATGTGATTATTGATTGGCCAATCAGTGATTACATGAATAGTTGTAAACCAGATGTCACTTCCTGACATCATTGCTTACTACTTGTAAAATCTGTGAATGATTCACTATTAACAACAGCCTTGTACCATGTGACAAGCTGTGACCAATCACAGCTCGCACAGTATTTCTCAATGGCTGCAGGAATGCAGCCAGAGAGAAGGAGAAATTATTGCTTTTACAGCCTTTATGCGTGTAAAAAAAAATCTTCATCACCCCCCACAAGTAGTAGTGTCACCATGGAGACACTGTACTGCTAGGGTGACAATATGTTAAAAAAATAACAAATAATATAAAAAAATTAAATAAAAAGTGTACGAAAAAAATTATAATTTTTGGTTATAAACTAATTTGGGTTATATTTTTTTTTTACTAAGATGATAGATGAATAAATTTTGGCCAAGATTTATGAAGAAAGATTATTTATTTTCAAAATTATTGGACTTTTTCATTTATATAGCAAAAAAATAAAAATCCCAGCGGTGAATAAATACCACCAAAATAAAGCTATATCTGTCTCAAAAAAATGCTAAAAAATTCATATGAGTACAGTGTTGCATGACCGCGCAATTGTCATTCAAAGTGTGATAGCGCAGAAAGCTGAAAATTGGCCTGGACAGGAAGGGGGTAAAGTGTCCGGACTGGAAGGGGGGGGGGGGGGGAAGTGTCCGGACTGGAAGGGGGGGAAAGTGTCCGGACTGGAAGTGGTTAATGCAAGGAATGCATTAAAGTGATTCTAAAGGTTTATTTTTTTTAAGAAAAAATACCAAACATGTTATACTTACCTGCTAAGCGAAATTGTTTTGCACACAGGAGCCCGAATCCTCCTCTTCTCAGCTCCTCCCGCTGGTGCTCCAGGCCCCTCCCCCATGCTGAATGTCCCCTGCAAGCTGCTTGTTCTGAGGGCACTCGTGCCTGCTTGCTCTTGAACTATGTCTGTGTGTCTATGTGAATCACAGAGCACAGCTTGGCCCTGCTTACTCCTCATTGGCTGTGATTGGCTCCAGCTGCTGTGTCTCAGCAAATGAGGAGGCAAAGACCCAGGAGAGCTTCTGCTCTCGTGCACATTGCTGGATCGGGCTCATGTGAGTATAAGTGGGGGAAGATTTTTTTTACCCTAATGTATAGAATGTATGAAGGTAAAAAAATTTTCAGTCTTTAGAACCACTTTAATGCTGCTACAACATGCACAGACATTGGTCGTGGATGGGTGTTCCAGCATGAAAATGACCCAAAACACATGGCCAAGGCAACAAAGGAGTGGCTCAAAAAGAAACACATTGAGGTCCTGGAGTGGCCTAACCAATCTCCAGACCTTAATCCGATTAAGGGAGCTGGAAGTTTGAGTTGCCAAATGTCAGCCACCAAACCTTAATGACTTGGAGAGGATCTGCCAAGAGGAGTGGGCCAAAATCCCTCCTGAGATGTGTGCAAACCTGGGGGCCAACTACAGGAAACGTCTGACCTCTGTGATTGCCAACTAAGTCATGTTTTGTGAACATGAACACGTTCATGTTCACAAAACATGCAAATCAGTGCATCATCTCCTGGTTCTCCTCTTACCTTTCTCAGCGCACTTTCAGTGTCACATACAACTCCTCCTCCTCTGCTCCCTCTTTTTGTTGGGGTACCCCAAGGTTCTGTCCTTGGGCCCCTCCTTTTCTCTCTCTATACCTCCTCCCTGGGCCAACTGATCACCTCCCATGGTTTCCAATACCACCTCTATGCTGATGACACCCAGATCTCTCTCTCCACTCCCCAGCTCACCCCCTCAATTTCCTCACGTATCACAAATCTACTAAGCGACATATCAGCATGAATGTCACATCATTACCTCAAACTCAATCTTTCAAAAACTGAGCTTGTAATATTTCCTCCCCCCCAATCCCCCACTCATGACTTTACCATTAAAATCAACAGCACTACCATTGGTCCTTCCCCTGATGCCAGGGTGCTAGGCGTAATCCTGGACTCTGACCTCTCCTTTGGGCATCACATCCACTCCCTGGCTAAATGCTGCCGCCTCAACCTCCGGAACATTTCCAAAATCCACCCCTTCCTGACCAATGACACCACAAAACAACTTATCCACGCCTTGGTTATATCCCGCCTTGATTACTGCAACTCCCTCCTCACTGGTCTACAATTACACAGGCTATCCCCCCTTCAGTCTATTATGAATGCTGCTGCTAGACTCATACACCTTACCAACCGATCAGCGACTGCTGCCCCTCTCTGCCAGTCCCTCCACTGGCTTCCACTAACCCAGTGGTGGGCAACCTTTTTTTTCAACTGAGCCAAATCTCGCCAAAACGATTGAAATTTATTTTGAGAGCCACATTTTTAAAACTGAAAATACATCCCCCATATAGTAATTCATCCCCCATATAGTAATTCATCCCCCATAGTAATTCATCCCCCGTATAGTAATTCATCCCCCATATAGTAATCCATCCCCCATATAGTAATCCATCCCCCATATAGTAATTCATCCCCCATATACTAATTCATCCCCCATATAGTAATTCATCCCCCATATAGTAATTCATCCCCCATAGTAATTCATCCCCCATATAGTAATTCATCCCCCATATAGTAATTCATCCCCCATAGTAATTCATCCCCCATAGTAATTCATCCCCCATATAGTAATTCATCCCCCATAGTAATTCATCCCCCATATAGTAATTCATCCCCCATATAGTAATTCATCCCCCATAGTAATTCATCCCCCATATAGTAATACATCCCCCATAGTAATTAATCCCCCATATAGTAATTCATCCCCCTATAGTAATTCATCCCCCCTATAGTAATTCATCCCCCATATAGTAATTCATCCCCCATATAGTAATTCATCCCCCCTATAGTAATTCATTCCCCATATTGTGTCAATTCACTTACCTTTGCTCAGCGCGTTCCTCTCGCCGTGTTCCCGCGCCGTTCCGGTCTTCAGGGCGGACTGTGAGAGGAGAGGAGTTCGTCACGCTGCCCCGCCTACATCCTGACAGCCAATGTTTGCCACGCTCCGCGGGCCGGATTAAAAGGTCCGCCGGGCCGTATGCGGGCCGTAGTTTGCCCATTGCTGGGCTAGCTGCAGAGTCCTGACTTTTGGGGCGGCCGTCTGAGAGGAGGGAGGGGAGCGGGCGCCCGGCACACAGAAGAGCCGCATTAATGTGTGTAAAGAGCCGCATGTGGCTCGCGAGCCGCGGCTTGCCGACCACTGCACTAACCCAACGTATAAAATTCAAAGTACTAACCACAGCTTACAAAGCCATCCACAACACTGCCCCTAGCTACATCACCAACCTCATCCACAGATACCGCCCAAATCGCCCACTCCGCTCCTCCCATAATATCCTCCTCTCTAGCTCCCCCATCAACTCCTCCCATGCTCGCCTCCAGGACTTCTCCAGAGCCTCTCCCATCCTCTGGAACTCCCTACCACAGCATGTCCGGTCAGCCCCCACCCTGTCTGCCTTTAGGCGATCTTTGAAAACTCACTTCTTCAGGGAAGCCTACCCCACCTCCACCTAAGAACTGTACTTGAATCACCTCCACCAGATCATCCCCCGCAGCTATCACCTTTTGTATCACCTCCCCTTTCCTTTAGATTGTAAGCTCCATGAGCCGGGCCCTCCTATTCCTTCTGTACTGAAATGTATTGTAATTGTATTGTCTCCC